GTGCGTGCTGTTCCCCGGCCTCCAGCTCAGCGCCCGGGCCACTCTGGCAGATTTCCAGCTCCTCCACCAGTCAGCTCTGCACACGTGTGACGCTGTTGGGGCCTCTCACCTCCTGAGCCTCCGTTCCCTCCTTTGTAAAATCAATCAAAATGCCAACATCTCAGTGTTAATTTCTGAACAGGAGAAAAATCTCCATAAAGTATCCCAGAGTGGCATCTGCCACATGGCAGGCAAACAGTAAACGCTAGGCATCGTTGTTCTTTTGCTCAAATAGTCGTAATAACAATGATAATCATGTTTCTACCATATAATTATATAAACATAACAGTTATTATTATTATCAGTGGGAAAATATGTCTCTGTCCGGCTTCTCCTTAAATTGGCAAAGGCAAATACCAATGGGGTTTTCTTTCCGAAAAGATGGGAATTCAGTTACGGCCAATGCAATACACCTGTAGGTTGTGTTCCTACCCAGTTGTAGGTGCGGGCTTCTCTAGTGAGACGTGGACCCCTGGCAGGAGAAGCTTCCCTTAGGGCAGGTAAGAGTCCCTAAACCACAGAGTTACTTCCACTGACGGCCGAATCTGCAGAAGTGTTTCAGTGCATTTGACCTTGCCTAGTGACTGGCACTGTGCCATTCCCATCTTTTATGTCTAGGGCACAGCCAGGCCACCAGCAGTCCTTCCTCGGGAAGGATGGTTTCCCACGTTTCTTCTCCGGTCTCCTCAGAGGCTGTGGTGGTTGGAGTGTTTTGTGGGAGCCAGTGCAGGAAACAGGGGTGACAGGAGCAGTACAGCAGTCAGGCTCCATGCGCAGGCTCAGTGTCTTCTGGTGTTGAGGGGGAGTCGCCCCGTCCAGCGGGAGTGGTGCCACGCTGGTGTGCAGTGTCATCGGGAGAAGGGACACTGCAGCACCTGCCCTGGCCAATGGCGATCATGTCATTACCGTTTAACGAGGCCCCAACATCAGCTCTCGCTAAGGTCTCAAGACTGGTCAAGTTGGCATTGTGGCCTGCTGAGCTGCAACTTGATAAGAAGAGCAGAGCAAGAATCTCAGAGCTGGGATGGACATCAGAGGCGCCCTCATTCACGAGTGAGGACATCGGGGCCCAGAGTTACGGGGAGGTCACTCCGCCCAGGACGGCGCTGGCCCCGCACGCAGTGTGTGGGGGGAATCAAGCTTCACCTCTTCATGCTACACTCATGCTTCCTGCCTGTCCTCTGCTTTCTCTGGTTTTCCATGATCCCCTTTGGAAATCTGTCTTCCCTGCTTTGTACTTTTAAAAATCCCTGTTAATGGTGATTTCAGTGAATTCTTACCTATTGGAAAGGCTCTGAAAGAAGTTCCTCCCCTGGAAGAAATGGTACTAACAGTTCGGGGACCTTTTTTCAGCCTGCCCCCCACTTGCCTTTAATAAGCTGCAATTCCTCTGCTTAAGTGTCTAAAACCCAGAATTTCAAGGGTAGGTGGTATTTGGGAGTGGAGTGTGGGTCTCCTTTGGAGAGAGAAGGTGTTCCTCTATAAGAATTCATTTTTGAGGGATGCCTGGGTGGCTCAGTCGTAAAGCATCTGCCTTCGGCTCACGTCATGATCCCAGGGTCCTGGGATCGAGTCCTGCATCGCAGGGAGCCCGCTTCTCCCTCTGCCTGCCGTTCCCCCCTGCTTGTGCACATGCACTCTGTCTCTCTCTCTCTGTGGCAAATGAATAAAAATTAAAATCTATTTAAAAAAAAGAATTCATTTTTGAGGGATATTACTTCAAAGCAAAAATAGTTTAATTTTTTTCTGATATTAAAAATGACAAATTTTTAAATTTTAAAAATGACAAGTATTATGCAGGAGAGCCAAGCCATAGGGTTATGCAACCTCTTGTTAATGTTTTGCTGGATGACCTCCTGCCTTTGAGCCTAAACACACACATATCATAGGGCTCCTAGCGTACCCATTTCTCTCACTTAACGGTGTCTTGGTGGAGGGTCTTCCCGCAAACGACAACAGTGCGGAAGCACTGTCCTTTCCAACGTCTGCACGTGAAGGAATCCGCACACCTTCTTCTCTTGGTGAAGATGTAGATTGTTTTTAGATTTTGCTAAACCATCTTTTATTGAACATCTGTGTACGTTTTTGCTCACCTGACCAGTTGACCTCTTGGCATGTGTTTCTAGAAGTAGACTTATTGGATCTAAGGGCGTACCCGTTGAAAAGCTGCCCCAAACGCACGGCCACCAGCAGGGTCCCAAAGCCAATCCGCTAGGGAGCAGGCACCTCCCCCGGTGCACCTTTGCGTTTCCCGTAGCCCTAGGAAGGGGGTCTGTGCTATTTCACAGACATTTGTCTGGTTCAGCAATTCGTAGTGCTTTCCCAGGACAGGAATAATTGGACTGTTTTCGACATACCAGGAGGAAGTTGAAGCACTCTCTGTTTCATGAATAAAGACGCTCAGTGAATCGAGCTGCTCTTTTCCAAAAGCAACAAGCAGAGATTTTAACCCGGGCACGGCCTCCTGTTCAGACCTTGCCTGGGGCTGAGCACCGTGTATCAGGTTCCGTTTTAAGCACTGCCTCTTCGGGAGGATATGAAGGAGCTGGGTACCGTCCAGAGTTCGACCACAGAAGGACGATAGTTAGGAAGGCAGCCTGGTGGAAGGCGTGCGAGGGGCCGGGGTTATTTAGCCCGGGGCACAGGCTTGGCGGAGGGGAGATAACTGGGCTCCAGCATATGGAGGAAAATTGTGTAAATGACCCTTCATCTGGCGGGAGGAAGGAGTGGGTTGGATGCACAGAGGGTGGTTAGTCATTCACAAAGGGCTTCTTGGATTCGGAGCTGAGTTGTTTCACATCCTAGAGAGTTTATGTGGGTATAAATCCTTCTGATTTCTTTGGAACAGTGTTCTGCTTGGAAACTGAACTTGGTAGATCTTCAGTTTGGGGTTGCTGTTCTGTTCCCTTCTCAGTGACGTCCTTCCAATTTGTGCATAGAACATAGGTTGTGTGAGCTAGTTACAAAAGGAAGGAGGCAAATCTGAACAGAAAGACGGCTGTAGTGGACAGACCTGGTGCTGGAGAAGCCGGCTCTGTCATCTACTAGCCCCCGATTTCGAGGAGGCTGTTGCAGACCCCGAGCCTCACACTCGGTGTCTGTGACATATGAGGTAAGGTGATGTCTACCATGCAGGATTCCTGAGGGGGGTGCCTGACGCCACCTGGGGCCAGTGCAGAAGTGCTTAGTACAGTGCCAGGCAGGTAGCAGGTGTTTGGCAAATGCTGGCTTTCCTTGCCCTTCCCTTCTAACCCTGCTGTTAGCATGAGGGCCAGTGAGTGATAGGAGCAGCAGGCTCCTAGGTGTCCATGGGACGAGAGGTCAGTGTGCACTAGTGAGAGGAGAGGGGGCTTCACATTTGGACAGTCCTGCTGACTCTTGTGTGTTCTCAGTCATGGCTTCCAAACCCGAGTGTCTCAGTCCCAGAGTCCAACAGGAAACCGTGATGTGATTGGTTTTTGCCACAAGCAGATTCCTTCTCGACACAAGTTTCTTTTAGAGAGTAACTCAGAGGGGATTTTCTTTTTAAGTTTTGAAAAGTTTCCCTGGCTACTTTGGGAGTATAGTGAGATCGTGGACAAGACACATTCCTTTGTCCAGCCGCTGCTCATGTGGTGCGACAGCGGGGAATCTGGACGGTTCCCATACCCCGGAGCCCCCGTGCAGGGGTGTGGGTCCAGGGGATGAGAGAGGGTCAGCAGGATGGGGGACAGAGGAGGGAGACCACCATCTCACCTCTGGGCAGGACCCGAGAGAGGGCTGTGAGTTAGCCCCTGCCCCAGAAGCGGCCATGCCGGGGCGCTCATGGCTGCTGGCCAGCGATGAACCGGTGTGGACTGAGTGGCATGTGGCCGCGGCCGGGCTAGGGGTGGACGCGGGCAAGAAAGCAGAGGAGACCAGTCAGGAGCGGGACTCAGAACCCCTCCGTAGGTCAGTGCTCTCTTTTGCCGTGGACTTTACGAAGGAAAATGGAGAAAGCTGGTCAGCACCTGCTAGTTCAAACTACAAAATTTTCTCGTCATGGCTCTGATCTCTGTGGCGTTTCTTCCTTCTTCTCCTCCTCAGCCACCTGACAGTGGGCCGCCACCGCTACCGACGTCATCTCTCCCGGAAGGTTACTACGAGGAAGCTGTGCCGCTGAGCCCTGGGAAAGCTCCAGAATACATCACGTCAAGTAAGTGTCAGGTCTGCCTGGCCCCCACTGGCCTCTTGCAGTGCGGGACTGTGTGGAGGGGAATCGGGGTGGTACCAAACACCGGGGGTGTGTGGAGCTCGGGCAGTGCTGACCCCGAAGGGGTGAACAGAGAAAGGGCTCCGAAAGCCCGCAGTGCCTTTGGAAACTCAGATGGGTGTCTTTCTCTGACACACCGGGTGAGACCTTGTTGCTGTGGGTTGTGCTCCCTCCCGGGTTGTGGGCTGTGAAATGTGTCCCCTTTGGTCACAAGGCAGAGACTTGTGTGGCATGTGTTTGTGGTGCCCCTTGCCTAGGGTGTGGCCCCCCAACGCTGCTTTCCTTGTGCCAAGGAGGCTAAAGGAGGGTACAAAACCGGCCCGTCTGTCTCCTCTTGCTTTCATATGGGTTCTCCTAGAACCTTCCTGCCGAGCTAGAGTTGTTCTGGCCCAGCTTTGGTCTTCCCTCACAAGCACCTCTGCGGTTTGGTTTTGGATCACCGGCTTCATTCCTCCCTCAGTGCTCTGTCAGGCGGGGAGCTGTGTCTCCAAATGCAGTCGAGGGAGGGTGTCCGAGTCCCTGTGGACGAGGGAACCTTGCTCTTCTCATAAAAGATAAAATGGAAGGTCGGGGATTGGTCGTTTTAGGCACGAGGCTTCGGGCACATTAATATTCATGGCACGTGGTGGCCCATCGTGTGTCTTCTGATGGAAGTGCACGCCAGCTCCCAGGGCTGTCCTCCTGTTGCCCGCTGTCTCTGCCTCTGTCTTCCCCGGCAGCTGACAGGTGTGTCCCCGGAGGGCCTCCCTGCCAGTGCTTTCTGCATGCAAGCGGGACGGGCACCCCTCGACGACAGGGGCCTGTTTGCTCAGCCTCCGAAGCAGTCGCATTTGGAGAAGGAAAGGGACAGTTCTGGTACAGGGGTTAGGACGTGCTGGGTGTCGAGGTCTTGAAGTCAAGTGTTTTAGTTTCTCTGTTATTTAAAAACCATCCATGGAAAATGCACTCAGGCAATTTCTAAGTGGCCACCATTTCCAGAAGTCAGGGGATTAATAAGAAAACACAAAACCTGAAGTGGCTCGGTGTAATTCGGAACCTCACTGGCTTCCTTTCCTTCTCAGCAGCGAGTTTGGGAAAACAAGCTTTTCCACGAGGGTATTTCCCAGCACCGGGGCTGTCCGGCTCTAGCCTGCTCCCACTGTCTTTCCGCTCCCACCCACATACTCGCAAAGCTACAGACTGAGAGTAATTTCCTTTGACTTGGGGGCCAGAGGCCATTTTCAGTCTGAGAAGCCTCACCTCGGTGATGTGCTCTGTCCTGTTCCTCAGAGAAGCCACCCCATAGTTGCCTACAGGTGGGCAGCTTTTGTTGAACCAAGTCCAGAGGAAAGTGTAACGGAAGGATGCAGGCTCGGGGCAGCGAGTCAGTGGGGACAGCACGCCGAGGCTCCCTCAGTCAGACATCTGTGGGTGAGCAGTGGGCGGTGAGGGCCTCGCCGTCCTCCCGAGGAAGAATGCAGGGAACTGACTTCCAGATGGGTTACTCAGGGCCTCGGCAACAGCTCTGTTGAACCCTGTATCAGGTGTGATTCTAGCAGAGGAATGAAGGGTCCATGATAAGAAGACCTAACGCAGCCGTGGAAACCGGTAGAGAAGCCTATGGAGCAGGGCTGGCCGTTGTGGGGAGACGCAGAGCCTCGGTAGAGCTGCACGTGCCTGGCCGGGCCTCAGATGCCGGGGGCGGGGGGTGTGCGGGGGGTACCTGCAGGGGCTGCAGGCCCAGCAGAGGGCCGGCCACCAAGCGACGGCAGGTGTGAGCTGCAGGAGCGCCTGGCACCCGCGCCAACCTTCAGCACGTACTGGCAGCCACTTCCCTCCCGCCTTCAGATTGCTCACAGATCTCTCCTGTGGCCGGCCCTAACCCAGAACCATCCAAGGAAGGGAATTTGGGGAAATGTAATTCCAGCCGTGCCAAGTTGCTCCGGTGTAAAGCCTCCACCATTTCTCCTGTGTCCATTTGGCGGCCGAGTGCACCTCTCTTAACTGCACTGAATTTCCGAGTAAAGACGAGCAGAATCACAGCGCAGGTTAATGTGATTCTACTCTCGTCTGTATCATGGAAAACCCCCTAACTGCCTCAGGGGATACGAAGTCCCTTTATCGACTTTGGGGTGACACCCATTCTCTTCCAGCGGAGCCCTACTCTCCCCTTGGAGAGCCTGTAGCTTCAACGTGGAGATCCACGGCCAATTGCAGTTCGGTGGTAGGGAATGGGAGCGGGGAGGAGGGGAACTTGTTTATACCCACGCAGATAACGGAAGGTGCATAACGAGTCCCATCCTCATTTCTACAACCAGCCAATGGTCATATCGTGTATTTACAACTTCATGCTCCCATTGCCCTCGGCAAGCACCTTGGCCGATCACCAGGTTAGATGACTCATCTTTCCTTCCTGAAAGGTCTGGCTGCATTGGATGGTTCACTCATGGGGCATGGGAGTACTGAGAGCCACCCCAGGGACCTCCTCCTCCTCACTGGTGTGACCGTGACTGGTCACCGCAGCCGTTGCCGTTAACCCCTTCTTTGCCTGTTGACCCCACTCCCGAGTTAATAGAGTGATGACCATGTCCTTTGGAGGGAATGTTCTGCCCTCAGAAACTAAGACTTGGGGGGCGCCTGGGTGGCTCAGTTGGTTAAGCGACTGCCTTCGGCTCAGGTCATGATCCTGGAGTCCCGGGATCGAGTCCCATATCGGGCTCCTCTGCTCGGCAAGGAGTCTGCTTCTCCCTCTGACCCTCTTCCCTCTCGTGCTCTCTATCTCTCATTCTCTCTCTCTCAAATAAATAAATAAAATCTTAAAAAAAAAAAATAAGACTTGGGGGCCTGAGGTAGAAATTTTGCCAGTGGGTCCCTGGGGTAACAGTGAGAGGAGTCACTACCATTTTCAGCCCTGGGTTCCCAGACCTGTGAGCCCCGATCTAGGGGAAAGAGCCCCACTGGGGCAGAGCAGATACTGCTAGAAGGTATTCTGGAAGATAGACCCCAGTCTCCCAGGGGTGGCCAGTCAAGCTGGTCCTGGAACTGAATATTGAAAAGGCATTCCACTGGTCTGTTGGGTCAGCTGCTTCCGGTGATGGGGACGTGGCAAGACCTGTGACTCTCATGAGCACGACCCAGAGCGTGGACTTCATTTGCTGTAACGTGAGTTCTCTGATCAGAAGCCGTGCTGTGGGATCCCACGCTGGCAAATAGGCATTCTGCAAGACTGTGGATGGTGCTTTTGGCAGGAACATTATGACAGGGATGGTGAATGCCCTGCTGCCCCTCCCATGATGGAGGTGGTGCAGTTACTAGGTGGCGGGCTGACACCCCAGGGGACAATGTCGTGTGCAGGCAGGACCCTGAGAAGGGCCAGGAGTCAGACTAATTCTGCAGTCCCTGCTTGCTGCCAGTTCCCCCCAGTCTTGACCATCCAACCAAACCATCAGGCCATGTGGAGGAGTCTGTGCTGGGAGAAGGAGCCCATGTAGCAGGCACGGGGGCACATGCACTTGAACCACTAGCTCGCACCTGTTACTTACAGCGTATGGGCCCGACGGATGCAGACTGCTTAGATGCTCTGCGGTGGGCCAGGTGACTGAGAGTCCGCGTTGGGCAGCTGAGGCGCCCATGACCAAGCATTTAGACACTGCTGGGTGTCAGAGAGCCAAAAGCCGTTTCTAAGGGTAAAATAATTGTTTCCGGAGGTTTATGTAACCGTGCTCTGAAATCCTGAAGCTCTGTGCTGAGCTTCCCCCGAGGAGCCTGCTGCCCTGGGCTTCTGATACCGTCGAGAACAGGGTGTGATCAGAGATGCGGAGCCACTGTGATGTGGAACAGGAGATTTGTTCTAGGGGCTGGACCTCACGCAGTCATGGCAGCTGTTGGAGGCTGAGGGAGCTGCATCCGCGAGGACAAACTGCACCCCATCTGTCCGTGACCCCCTCAAACACACACACACACACCCGACGACACAGAAGATGCTGGTGCTCTCGGCTGTGGTCCAGGTGCCTGTAGGGATCTGCGCCGCCCAAGGAGGGGGCCCAGCGGCAGGGCGGCCGATGCACCACGACACATGCCTGAGCCCCAGCAGCGCCCGGCGCCCCCCAGAGACCTTCGGGCGTGGCAGCTGCCACTGTCCAGTCTCTCCCTCCACGGCGCTTCCTGCCGCTGACCTCAGCTGGCCACACCGGCCAGGGAATTCTGGGCAGCCACTTCCAGCCAGGCTGGGTCGGCGGCACCGTCACTGCAGATCTTGTTGGGGCTTTGGTTTCTGACCTACATTTCATGTTATTTTCAGTTTTCTGATTGCCCTCTCTCCTCAGCCTCTCCCTCCTCAAGGTCAATTGACTGAAATGCAAGTTGTGATTTCGTGGGGAAGGGTATATGTCTAAAGTACACATTGTAGCGTTTTATAGTTGAAAGTCATCATTTACTGGAATGTTCTTCAGTTCCACCAGCACTGCCCACAGAAAAGTGTCTGGCGTGAAGAACGTTTCCTCACCAGCGACATCCCATAAACACACAGATCCACACAGATCTCTTGCTGGCTCTTTGCTTTGCCTCCTTGTTCTGTAGGAAGTGTAGCCATCTACACGGGTTGCTAGGACATACCAGGGGCTCTGTCAGCCGTCCTTCTCCTCCTCGGGGGAGACGTTCCAGGACCCCCAGTGGATGCCAGAAGCTGTGCGCAGTGCCCAACCCCCGTGTGCCGTGTTTCTCCCTATTCACACGCCTTGTGATGAAGTAGAATTTCTAAGTGAGGCACAGGAGGATATGGGCCACAGTGGAACACGTGTAACAATGCACTGTCACAAAAGTAGCAGAGTCGAGGGACGCACTGGTGGCCTCGCTCGCTCAGAACGTCTTACTGTCCCGCACTCACCCTTCTTCCTGCAATGACGTAACATGGTAAAGGGCCCGCTTGAGGAGATGCCGGGGCTGAGTGGCGTGGGCGTGTGACGCAATGTCAGGGTACCGCTGACGTCCTGATGTTGCGTTAGCAGGAGGATCTCCTGTTTCTGGAGACCCATTGAGTGCAAGTAACTGAATCTGTGGAAAGTGGAACCGCGGATAAGGCAGGACCACCGTACTGACGTGCGCTCGTCTCTGGCTGAGAGGACCCTCGAGAGTGTGGGTATCAAAGGCCTTTGTGAAGGTGAAGCAGGCCTGGTCTTTTCACAACTTTATCGGTGGCCCCTGGCATCGAAGTATGGCTGGCCCTGGAGCACCACGGGGTCAGGGGCACTGACGCCCCGCACAGTCAGAAATCCGTGTGTCACTTGGACTCTGCAAAATCCTAGCTACTAATTGCCTCCTGCCGACTGGAAGCTTACTGATGACACAGACAGTCCGTTGACACATCCTTTATATGTCCTGTGTATCCTGCACTGTGTTCTTACAGTAAAACAAACTAGGGAAACGAAAATGTTATTAAGGCAGTTAAATACTGTCCTGTATTTATTGAAAAGAAATCTGCTTCTAAGTGGACCCATGCAGTTCAAACCTGTGTTCCAGGCCAGCTGTGTAAGCGTGAAAAAGATTGCCCAATGCATAATAAGCCCTCAATAAATACGTGCTGAATGAATGAGGTCAAAGGTATTTCTCCCATTTACAACTGTTTATTAATGCTTTTGCTCATCTGTTCGCTAAATGTTTACTGGATTCAATGTTCTAGAAAGTAAGCTAAGCACCGAGGGATTCACGGTCCTTCAAAACCTTCCTAAAATGAAAATCTGAGTTTGTGCATCGCCCATCTGAGACCTTAGATGGGTCTCCGAGCAGCATGCGCTCTTGAAGTCTGGCCGCCCACCTCTTCCCACCATGTGAGCTACATTCTAGCCATGCTAAACTTTTAAAACCCTTTTATTGTGAAACATAATGTATTTACCAAAAAGTACTCAAAATATGAACATAGACTTACTAACTTATAACATGGAGTATCTATGTAAGCACCATCTGGTCAGGAATAGAAAACGTCTGCCCTGGAAGCCCCCCGTGGGCTGCTTCCTTGTCACAGTCCCCTCCCCACAGATGTAACCACTAACTTAGCATCTGTGGCAAGCACCAAAATGCTACTGGAAAATGAAAAGATCCACTGTGTTCTCTAAATGTTTGATATTTTTCAGGGCTTTTGCTCATTGTGTTCCTTCTAGACTTTACTGTCTGGTTGGCAATGACTCACGAAAGATCTAGATCAGGTGTTATCTGGAGTGTTCCCTGTCCCACGTGTGCTGTCCCCTGCAGCCCATCTCCCATGGCCTACACCGCACTCCCTGGTACGTGTCGGCCCCTCCAGCACAGGCTGGGAGAGCTTCTCCAGCGGCTGAGAGGTTCCCTGTCTGTGCCCTCAGCATCACATCCACTTAGCCAACCAGTGAGCGCTGGGCGCTAAAGGTGTGGTTCCTGCCATCAGAGAACTGAACAGATCGTTTTATCTGACTTTAATTAGAACTGACTTTAAGTAGCCCGTAAAACGGGGTGGTGGTGGTGTGTGCATGTGCGGGTGGGGGGGATGTGGGCTCAAGGGGAAAGGCCTGACTGCGGGTGGTCGGCTGTGTATCGGCGCACATGCAGGAACGGACGGTTCTGTCTCGTGCACTGTCCATGGCAGTCCGGGCCGGGCCCTTCCCAGGCCTGGAGTTGGCCCCCCACACGGTCTTCTGGGCATGTCCTGGGCAGCACTCTGCAGGGACCTCCTGGCCACCAGCCCACCCTCCAGGGCTCCGCCCATTCGCAGTGCTGTCTGTCCACTTCGGCTCTTGCTGAAAACCCATCCCTGACTGCTTCGTCATGATTGAAAACTCAACCTGAACCCTAGTTCTCTGTCCCCCTCTTTAGTAATGATTCTTCCTGACGTCATTGAAATGCAGGCTGACTACTGAGTACAGATCATACTCCGGTTCCCGGGGTAAGAAAGGTGAATTCCGTTCTGCGTGAGGTCTGCCGTTGCTGCACGTCTACTCTGTTGTGTAGCCGGCAGCTTCAGCCGGGCTTTCTCCTTCTCGGTCACGCATCACGTAGGTCTTCATCGCTCAACCCTGTCTTGAGAAGTGAGTGTATTCCTGATGCGACTGGGGGTTGAGGAGGATGCAGAGATGAGTCAGACCCCATCTCAAGGGGCGTATCATCCAACAGGGATGAAATCAATATCATGGGCAGCCCCTGGTGTTGATGGAACGTCATGACTGTGCCAGCCATCAGCCAGAGCGCTTTGCAGGTAGAGCCGAGGTTCACCGAGCAGCCCGCCCTCCCGCAAGTCTTTGTTCTTGCCCCGCGCCGGGTATGTTGTTAGGGGCTGGGATGGTCCCCCTTCCTCGGGGGGCTTCCGGCCCGATGTGGGAGGCACACAGACACATGGCCATGACAGTACAGTGGGGCAGGCTGTGTTGGGTGGTGTGGAAGCAGAAATGAGTGGCATTTCATCCTGTGCCTTGGCACAGGCTGCCGTAGCAGACTAGACCCTTCCTTGCCGTTTTGGAGGCTGGACATCCATGAGCTGGGTGCCGCCCGGTCGGGTTGTGGCTAGGGCCTCTTTCTGGCTCACACACAGCCACCTTCTCCCCGTGTCCTCACGTGGTGGACAGAGAGCAACATCTCTCTCTCCCTCTTCCCATAAAGACACCGGTCCTATTGAATTAGGACCCCACTCATATAACCTCAGTTAACCATTGTTACCTGCCAGAAGTCCTGTCTCCAAATACAGTCTCACTGGGGTGAATTAGGGGGGACACACGTCCACAGCCACCAGCTTTGGTGATTCAAGGAGGGTGTTGTGGAGGCGGTGTCCGTAAATTGAACCCTGATAGGCAAGAGCACTTATTCAGGCAAAGGCAGGAAGTTAAGTGGGATGAGCAGGAAGCCTGTGTGGGAGGGCAGCATGTGCAGAGCCCCAGCAGCGAGAGAGAATGTGCTGCGTTCAGGAGACTGGAGACAGTCTGATGTGAACTGTGCTTGCCTTGTAGAAAGAGAAGGAGGGTGTAAATGTCTCTCTGGCACCCCTGAGGAGAGGGAGGCCTTGGGCTGGGTCTGGAACGTTAGTGAGGGCCTGCGTACGCCAACGCACGCAGGCAGGACCTTGCAGACCTGAGAGGACCTTGAGCTAGAGGTGTGGCATGGGAAAGCTGCGCCCTGCGGCAGCGGCCCATTGGCTGGGGTCCCCTCAGCCGGCCGTGGCACGGCCAGGTTCCGATGATGTGGGGTCTGCAGACAGCCCAGCGCTCACCGAACAGTCGAGGACTGGTTCTCACAGAGAAAATTCTAAGACGCTTCAGTTTAGAACTTGGTGTTACTTTGAACTGCCTATTGTGGTTATTTTTCCCCAGTTTTTACTAATTACTGTTTGCCCGGCACGCCGAACGCAGAGGCCCCCTCCTGGTACAACGGACGCACTCCTGAGCGCGCAGGTAGGCGTCCGGGTCGGGTGTGCGTAGGCGGGCCCGTTACCTTTACCGCTTTCCCTGCTTCTGACAGATTATGACTCGGATGCCATGAGCAGCTCTTACGAGTCGTACGATGAGGAAGAGGAGGACGGAAAGGGCAAGAAGACGCGGCACCAGTGGCCGTCCGAGGAGGCCTCCATGGACCTGGTGAAGGACGCCAAGATCTGTGCCTTCCTGCTGAGGAAGAAGCGCTTCGGGCAGTGGAGCAAGCTACTGTGTGTCGTCAAGGACACCAAACTGCTGGTAACGCACGGGGGGCGGGTTGTGCTCCTGCGGCCGGTGGGGCCTGCCGGCAGCCTCATGGCTGGGAGCGACCCTCAGGCAGGGCGGGCATCAGCTGGTGAGAAGGGGAGGCGCTCCGGCCTCTGCGCAGCCTGACACAGAGCTCCCCGCGGCCAGGCGCCCGGGCAGTGAGCGCGGGTGCTCGCTGAACCTTGAACGCCCTTGGTTTCCGTCCCTGCAGTGACCAGCAGGCAGAGTCCTCCCCATCCCGGGCCAGTGTCTGCGGCGGTGGTGGAAATGCACAGGCTTTAACTTGCCAGAAGTCGCAGGATGGATTTTCTCATTTGTAGTGAGTCAGTGAATTCCTCAAAGCCAGGTCATCAAGTGGGGCGGGCAGGCCAGCCGCGGTTGGGGAGAAGAGTGTCCAGGAAAGGAAATTCTTTTGGAAAGCTAGAGGCAGATTCTTTTTTTGTTTAATCCGAGGGGCTGAATAGGAAGATGGACAAAGTAGCAGAGCCACGGGGCGCAGGGACAGGCAGGCCTTCTGCTGTGCTGTCCTTCCCACAAGGGACCCCGTTAGGAAGCCAGAGCCCTTGAGCACGTGTGAGGCTCCCTCCTCCCTCCTCCTTCAGTCCTGCCTGCTTTAGAAACCCTGGTTGATTATTGGGGTGTTGAATTTCAGAGTGCATTTCTGCATGTTGTTTTTCCTTCGGGCTAACTTTGGGGGGAAATTCATGGAATAATATCATTAAAACAGACCCAGGAGTTTATGATTCTGTGTGTCCCTCTTGAGTGGAGCAGGTAACCCTATTCTTTCATCTGTGAATTATGGGAATGTTCTTTTACTAGAGTCTTAGGATGTTTTAAATTAATGGTTTTCAAAAAAAATTTTTAAACAGTGAGAATACATATTTTTTCCACATGTGTGGCCTGAAAATCTCCCAAATTTAGAATATTCCAAAAAGTGATGCCATGGGAGAATTTTAAAGTAAAGAATGAGAAAAAAAAAAAGATGAAAAGGACTAATGTGGTCCTTATTTACAGTCTGACATAATGGCTGCAAGATGTGGGTGTATCATGGAAATGCTGTAACAACCTACAGTGGGCTCTCAGGTACAAGAGGAGTTCTGGAACAGGGCAGGAAACCTGGGGGTTTGTGGTGGGATCAGCGCCCCTCCCCTCCCCCCCCCCCTCCCCCACAGTCCTCCCCCCTCTCCCCGCCCCACCCCCTCATTCCTTCCATCTCCTTCCAGATTTCTGGGATATCTGTCTTCAAAACCGAGGTGAGAACACCTACCATTTAGAGTAGTGGTAAACATTTCAGAAGAAATTAATGGAAAACCATGTGAAAATACTGTCTTCGATAAAATGCAGAATCAAAGTTAATTATTTTTATTATGAAGCTTTTTTTCTTTCAAAAATCCCCAATGATCCAGTTGCCCAGATAACCCGTTAACACGGAGAAAAAATTAACAGTGTTAAAAAAATAAATGCTTTCCAAGTTCGAACAGCACAGAAAACTGTAAACAGAAAACCAAAAGCCAGGCTCTTGCCTACATGTTCCCAGCCTGTCTTCCCGTGGGCACCACCATCCGAGGCTTTTTGGGTACGCGTCTGGCGTCTGTGCCCTTCCAGGCCCAGGCGGTCCTGCGGTGGACACAGTGATGGGCCAGAACCCCCATCAGGACAGTTTGCCCGGGTCACGCTCCCTCCCCGGGGGTCTGCATCAGCACAACCCTGCCAGGGCCTTCCAGCTCCAGAGATGCATGGGCTCCCCGAGGCCAGCAGCTCAGCTTCTTCATACCCCTCTCTCCCGCAGGCCTGGCTCTCAGGGCGCACGCTGCCCTCCCTGTCTGAGAGTCCACTCCCCTCGGAGTCTGAAGGCAAGGATGTTCAGCCAGCACTTTAATGTAGTAGGGCTAGTGACAGACCCATTTTGAGGCATTTCCTGTCTTACTCCATCTACTGTACTGTTAGTTTCCTTTTTTTCCTATTCTGTTTTTTTCATGCACTTACTGAGAATCCAAAAAACTGCCAAACAGTGAATGTTCATAGCAATCTGGGGTTAGTTGGTTTTGGTGTGTATTTTTTCCTTCCATTTCAGACAGGGCAATCATCACTTGCATTTTTGTAAAACGTGGATATGTTCATGTGGCACTCAGGAGCCAAGGTTTTGGGACTTTAAAATAGAGGACTCTGGAAGTCACCTCTGAAAACAGGTGTCTCTTCCTTCCCTCCCTCCTCAGTAGATGGCGCCCAGTGGAGAGAGCCGGCTGTGTGCTCAAACCATCTGGGGCTGGGGGGGACTGCTTTTCACACGTCTGACTTTGGGCAAGCCACATAACCGAGTTAGCCTCAGTTTCCTCATCTGCAAAATGGACAACTGTGGCCATCAAGTGAGTGTGTGAAACACCTACGGATGTTGACACTCCGTACTTGGTAGTGGGTGTAACTAATCATTTAGTGTGACTCAATAAAGTCGTGATGATCACAGCAATAGTTCATTTTACAAATGAGGAAACAGGCTCAGCAAGCTGGAGAGACTTCCCAGGAGCCAGATTAAATTCGTAGCAGAGCCAGCACCCAGATGTCTGTACCCTCAGACTGTCTATTCCCATGAAGATGTGTGCTTTTGGTCCCAAGTCATAGGATTAGACCCAAGGAGAGAGGCGAGACCTTTGGACAAAATTTGTTCTAGGTTTCACAGATGCAGATGAAGCACCGATGATATGAACTAAATCTGAGTGTTTGCCATGGCACGGAACTCTTGAGAGGGGACGTCTGCTGTGTAAATGGAGTAGCGTTGAGTTTTGGATCCCGTACTCAACTGGAAAGCAAACCTTTGCAGACATGTTGCCCAGGACGTGTTTCTCTGTATTCTCTTGAGGAAGCCCTTCATCTGTCTCTCGGAAAGGGGACAGAGATGAGACCAGCAGATACCAAATGACGTAGGTTGTAGAAGAAGGCATCCAAATGTTTTCCCACGTGAGGGCTGTGCTTTTCGGCAAATCTAATATATCACATTCATGTGACTTAGTGAGGAAGCTCCGCTGGTCCATGATCCCCATCGGAGGAGGGAGTTTCTGTTTCCTCCTGAGTCGTGTCATCGATGCTCAGTAAACTTTGCCGAACTAAAGAGTAGATGTATTTTCACATACGTGGGGGTGACATGTCGTGTGGAGCGTGCCCCACGTGGGTGACGCGTGTGCGTCTGCAGACGCACCCTCCGGGGTCTTCGAGAGACCTCAGATGCCTCGCAGGTGCTGGCCTTTCCATCCTGCCAGGGCTGTATCCGGTCTCTCCTCAAACTCTCTTCAACCTGACTCTGCTTTCTCGTGTTAAATGCAGTGTTACAAAAGCTCCAAGGACCAGCAGCCCCAGATGGAGCTGCCCCTCCAAGGCTGCAACATCACATACACCCCGAAGGACAGCAAGAAGAAGAAGCACGAGCTGAAAATCACCCAGCAAGGCACAGACCCGCTGGTTCTTGCAGTCCAGAGCAAGGAGCAGGCCGAGCAGTGGCTGAAGGTGAGGCGCTCGCCTGGCCTCTGAGCCCTTTACGTGGCCAGGCCTCTCTCCCAGACCTTGTGTTTAGTTCAGTTTGTCTGTTTCTCAGGCGTAGGCGAAACTGGATGAACCCCAGCAGTTTTGTCTTTGAGAGCAGAGTGTTCTGATTGCTTTGCAGCTAATCACTCCCGCCCTGGTCTTCAGAAGGCAGTGGGCCTCAAGATTGCAGACTGTTTCACTACTTTCTCTTTTCCTTTGATTCCTTTGATTTTTTTTTTTTTTTTTCCCATGTGTCTGGCGGTGGATTCTTTTCTATTTATTCTGCTTGGAGTTCGCTGGGATTCTAAATCTGTGGATTGTCATCTTTCTAAGTTTTAGAAAACTAATTTTCAGCCATTTCTCTTAGAAATATAACTTTGTCTCATCCCCCCCAACTATGTTTAAATATATGTTAGACGTTTTCACTGTATTTTATTTATCTTCTCCTTATATCTTAGTGTCTTTTTTTCCTCCCTGATCTGGTCAGTGTGTTCTTGTTAATTTTGGCCCACTCTTTCTCTTTCCGGCTGTGCCGGATCTGCTGTTAAACTTGTCCCCATTCCCTGGGTTCTGAACGTTGGTTGTGGACTTCTAGTATTTCTAGTCATTTCTTTTTCGACCCGGGAATGCCAGTTTTTACAAATGTTAGATTTCCTGCAGAAGCGTTTGTCGCTTATCTCCACAACAAGCAGGTAGCAGGCTTGGTTGTTGGACTGCGGTTTGGTGGCGCGAGGACCTGGCCCCCTCATCTGTTGATGTTCTTGTTCCTGTCATTTTGTCCTTCCCGCGTGCCGGGGTCTCTGATGATCACGCTGCTCCTTCTACGTGGGGAAAAAAAAATTAACTCGGTAATTTTTATATAACAGCTTTTATTGAAGTAGCAGTCATATACCGTACAGTTCAGCCTTTTGAAGTATGATTCAGTGGCGGTGAGTCTGTCCACCATGACCTACTTCCAGAGCATCTTCCTCTCCCCGAGGAGAAACACCCGTGCTCACCATGTGAGCAGCCCCGCCCCCACCCCCAGCCTCACCCCCGGCCCCAGGCACGCACTACTTTGTTTTCTGTTCCTATAGCGTTGCCTGTGTTCAACATTTCGTATAAACACTCTGTGTCCTTCTGTGACAAGCCGCTTTGATTTGGCATGTTTCCCAGGTTCATCCGTGTTGTAAAATGCATCTGTACTTCCTTACTTTTTATCACTTTCAGGCCATATCTAAGAAACTATTGCTTATTCCGAGGTCCTGAAGAGGTACACCTGTGTTTTCTTCTGATCATTTTATAAAGTCAGACCTTAAGTTTCGTCTGTGGTCCACTTTGATTTCATCATTGCATGTAGCATGAGACAGGGGTCCAATTTCGTTCTTTTTTCTTGCAGGGATCCAGTTGTCCCTGTAGAAATAATTTGATTCCTGGCCCTATGCTTTCCTCTATGGGAGAGCATTTCCATTTGCCTCTGCCGTGCGTAGGGAGGGCATTAGCTCTCCAAAATCTGTTGATAATTTCAGGGCTTGAGATTTTTTTCAGAGCCACCCAGGTAACTTGAATTCAGCCTGTGATTCATTCAAGGGCAGGTTTATATTCATTGCACTGTTACTCCGAGATCTATTCCTTGGGATTCCCCAGCTGAACTGTGGGGGTTTTGCCAGAGACCTCGTCTTTGGCATGCCATGCACTCCAGCCTCTGACTCCCAGCCCCCCCCCGCCCGGAGCCACAGAGGAGCCGTCTGGTCTCCGGGGGGCCGAAGCCACCCCCGCTGCCGGCCTACCTCTCCACATTCCCGTCTTCCTCTGCATTGTGGCCCGGTCATTCCTCACGGCGATCATAGCTCCTTCCTGCTGTAGGAAGAAGCTGTGTCTGTTTTCTCTGGCCTTCCTGACGGTCTTCCTCAGGAAGGTGAGCCCGGACCATCTAGTCCCTCTGCCTGCCGGTACCTGCTTTGGAAAACGGGGTGAGAGGGGTGGGAAGACCCCCGGAGGCCTTCCCTAACAGTGGCTCTGCGACGTGCCGGTGTCCGTTCCACCTTGAGCCACACTGCCCTCTGCCCCCCGGGAGAGCAGACCACCCTCACGTCCGTCCGCCTGTCGGAGGCGCACGTGGCTTTGCCTGTGGCTGCCCCAGGAGGGACTGAACAGGGCGTTTGTCTTCTTCGGGGGAGTCCTGTGCCCAGGACCTCCTGCTGCTCCGTGAGCTTGGCTCCCACACACAACTTGAGTATGCTGCACACCCACCACCTCTGTTAGCGATCTCTTTGAAGCCTCTTCACGTTTCCAAAATGCTTTTCCACCGTCGTTAGGTCCTAGAGCACAGAACGGCCGCCTGAGGAAGGTGTTGACGTGAACGGCATCACCGTACAGGCGAGAGGCCGAGTGCCAGGGCGGTGGGTGACACAGTGGCCGGCGGGTGCCAGAGCCAGGAGTCGACCTCGCGTTTTTCCCCTTCGCATTCCGCCTTCCTGTGCCAGGCTGCCTGGCCCTTGGCCGTTTTCCCTTCACTGCTACCTGCTTGGTCCCAGCGCCGTCCCTTCAGGAAGGAGGGACAGAGGATGAAAGAAGTAAGGAGCCCCCACTGTGATTCTGTTCCCTGGGCCTGGCCCCACGCGGGCTGAGCCGTGCCGTCCTTCTGCGCCCTTGGGTTTCCCTGCTGCCTAGCAGAGGAGCAGGAAGGGCCGCCCTGAGCCCTGGGCTTCCTCTGTCCCTGCCCCTTCTTCGTGACTTGCTCCGCATGAGCTGCTGGAAGCATCGCTGGCTTCTCCAGGCTCCCTGGGACGTGGCGCTGAGCTGACCATGCAGCTCGCAAGTACACGCTTAGAGAGAAAACGCTTCCAAGATGTCAGGCCCTGATGGAACGGAATTCCGTTTTACGTCCTGTTTCTCGAGATGTGAGATGCACATCAGAGGTGCTCAGCTAATTATGCAGTGATGACTCTATGGTCAGTGGAAGCTAATTGCAAGGATTTTTCTTTAAGCATGTGCTGATATTTCTTAAAACGGAAGTAAAGAATACATGGTAAGTTACCTTCTTCTCAAGAGTTTGAATTGATTAATTTCTCGGTTTGATGTTTGTGCTTTGCTCCTGTTATGTGTGTCAGTGTGAGAAGCTGAGAAGTCTTGATTAGAAATGACAGAGACAAAACTAGTTTCAGTCAGTCAGAGAATTTTCTTTCTTTAAAACCAGCAGAGACCGGAGAGGGTCCGGTGTCTTACCGGTATGACTCAGAAACTTAAGAAACATAGATTCCCAGTGACTCAAACTCATGAAGATTCTAAGAATCTTTTCCTTTTCCTTTTTACCCTGTATCTCCTTGTTCAAGACCTCAAATGCTGCAGCTAGAACTGGAACAGGCCTCCCCTACTAACTCTCTGTCCCTCCTCAAAGGTAACTTTTATCCTGAATATTATCATCGAGGTATGCTTTAAAGATACTTTTTTTCACTTATGTATGTATTTATAAATCAGAAGTGATTTTTTTTTTTTTTTTATGTTCAAAAACGCCCATGTACATGGCTTCAAACTGCACGTATCCCGCCCCTCGCGTTTTCCACTCACTGTTTTATGCCTGCTCTGGGGTTGATGCCCATCCCCCTTTGCTGTCCTGGAACGCTTCAGTGAGCGTTCTCGTGCATGTCCCTTGGGCTCGTGTGTCATGGCTTCTCTGGCATGGCTGACTTTAGTACATGCGCATTTTCAACACGACTAGATCTTTACAAATGGCTTCCCAGGTTTGCTTGTGCCATTATACGTCCTCCAGCATCATACAAGAGCAAGCATTTTGTCTGTGTCCTTTCTGAGATTATATATATATATGCAGGCAAAGAGAAATGCAGATTTTAATTACCACCCCTATAGACAAGATGTGGTGTTCTGCCTCTTGCTTTTTACACCTAAACAAAGTGTCTTGCAGATTTTTCCAAGGTAGAGAATGGAGCCTTTCCTTTTGCTTTTTTTTTACAGGACATACCATTTCATTGTTTAAATAGATCGTAATTTTTAAAATATTCTCTGATTTGTGGATATTGGGTTGTTTGCAGACAACTCTGTAACAGTCAACCCTGTGCATACATCATCTCACACTTGCTAGTGTGTGGCCTGACTTCCCAGAGAAGCTGTTTGCTTGCATGAAGGTTGTAGGCGCTTGTGATTTTGATACACAGCCACGTCACTCCGCACTGGAGGTCCGCCAGCTCAGCCTCCCACCAGCGACGTGTCCGAGTGCCCTTCCCCCACAGCCTCGCCTGCCATAGGTCAGCAAGCTGTGGGGAGCTCGCCAGTGTGATGGGGAAGGGCGGATCTCCCTCGAGTTGAATTTGCATTTCACTTCCTATGGTCTTGAATGAGCTACTTAGCTCCTCTGCGCCTCTGTTTTCTCCTCTGTGCAATGGGAGGGAGGGTCATAATGGTGCCTGCCTCTCTGACTTGTTGTGAGGATAAAATAGTAAGATAGAAACATTTAGAAGAGCACCTAGCATGCAGTGAACACATATGTAAGCAGAAGCTCCTTCACTATTGTTTGGTTCTTGTGATCACTATGCTACCGCGTCTAGGTCTAAGTAAACTCCCAAGCTCTGGCTGAAAACAGTTTGAAAATCAAGATGATAGTGGGGTGTGTTAGGGGCCGGAGCTAGGGGTGTCCACATCACGGCCTCCCACCCTCCTGGACCAGGACCGCAAGGGCGCCTGCTGTGTGCCCCCCGGAGGACATCCCCGAACTTGGCTTGCTTGCCCGAAGCCTTTGTATTGTTCCCACACGCCCAGGGCGCCGGGGAAAGGGTTGGCGGGTGGGCGTAGGCTCGGGGTGTCACTGAGGCGCCTCGAAGTTTCAACCATTACACCAGGCTGCGTACGCCCCTAGGATGTGGCTGGTTTGTTCCCCACCCTCTGCGGTGGGTACCCCTGCCTCCCGCCACCTTCCCAGCCAGGAGGCAGCCTGGTCACTTCTTTCCTGCAAAGGGCTCTTCCCTTGTGAGGACATAGCGTGTCCA